AAGTGGTTATGAAAATGGATGGATGGATGGATAACTGTAAATAATATGGGCAAAATGTGGAATTCAGTGTTGAGTAGTGTATTAAAAGTAGGGGAGACTGGGAATAGTCGTACCAGTTTTTGTGATTTTCCCAATAAATCAATATTCATTTATACTGGAATAGTCAATCTGCCATATAATAAACTCCAATGCATCAGCTATTGAATAGATTTATTCATGGGTTTTATGAAATATGTACAGTTTGCAAAATTGATTTAAATACAGCCAAAAACACTGATTCTAAGTACACTTGTTTGGATAGCTAGATATTTCAGTGGTTGGCTTAGGTGGAGTTCAACTATTTTACATACTGTTGGGCAGTTTAATCTGTAACAATTCGTCATATTTTATGAGCTTGCCGTTTGTTTTCTATGTAAAAATCTATAAAGAGCATGTGACTCAAAGATGTCAAATAAACATACTGGCATAAATAGTGAAATATTTCGCTCTGAATTTCAGTGAAGTACACATATCAAGCAGAATGAAAAGGAAATACATAACTTAAGTACAAGTACCTTAAAACTGTACATGAATAAATTGTAGACCCATATACAGTACAGGCCAAAAGTTTGGACACACCTTCTCATTCAATGCGTTTTCTTTATTTTCATGACTATTTACATTGTAGATTCTCACTGAAGGCATCAAAACTATGAATGAACACATGTGGAGTTATGTACTTAACAAAAAAAGGTGAAATAACTGAAAACATGTTTTATATTCTAGTTTCTTCAAAATAGCCACCCTTTGCTCTGATTACTGCTTTGCACACTCTTGGCATTCTCTCCATGAGCTTCAAGAGGTAGTCACCTGAAATGGTTTCCACTTCACAGGTGTGCCTTATCAGGGTTAATTAGTGGAATTTCTTGCTTTATCAATGGGGTTGGGACCATCAGTTGTGTTGTGCAGAAGTCAGGTTAATACACAGCCGACAGCCCTATTGGACAACTGTTAAAATTCATATTATGGCAAGAACCAATCAGCTAACTAAAGAAAAACGAGTGGCCATCATTACTTTAAGAAATGAAGGTCAGTCAGTCCGGAAAATTGCAAAAACTTTAAATGTGTCCCCAAGTGGAGTCGCAAAAACCATCAAGCGCTACAACGAAACTGGCACACATGAGGACCGACCCAGGAAAGGAAGACCAAGAGTCACCTCTGCTTCTGAGGATAAGTTCATCCGAGTCACCAGCCTCAGAAATCGCAAGTTAACAGCAGCTCAGATCAGAGACCAGATGAATGCCACACAGAGTTCTAGCAGCAGACCCATCTCTAGAACAACTGTTAAGAGGAGACTGCGCCAATCAGGCCTTCATGGTCAAATAGCTGCTAGGAAACCACTGCTAAGGAGAGGCAACAAGCAGAAGAGATTTGTTTGGGCCAAGAAACACAAGGAATGGACATTAGACCAGTGGAAATCTGTGCTTTGGTCTGATGAGTCCAAATTTGAGATCTTTGGTTCCAACCGCCGTGTCTTTGTGAGACGCAGAAAAGGTGAACGGATGGATTCCACATGCCTGGTTCCCACTGTGAAGCATGGAGGAGGAGGTGTGATGGTGTGGGGGTGTTTTGCTGGTGACACTGTTGGGGATTTATTCAAAATTGAAGGCACACTGAACCAGCATGGCTACCACAGCATCCTGCAGCGACATGCCATCCCATCCGGTTTGCGTTTAGTTGGACGATCATTTATTTTTCAACAGGACAATGACCCCAAACACACCTCCAGGCTGTGTAAGGGCTATTTGACCAAGAAGGAGAGTGATGGAGTGCTGCGGCAGATGACCTGGCCTCCACAGTCACCGGACCTGAACCCAATCGAGATGGTTTGGGGTGAGCTGGACCGCAGAGTGAAGGCAAAGGGGCCAACAAGTGCTAAACACCTCTGGGAACTCCTTCAAGACTGTTGGAAAACCATTTCAGGTGACTACCTCTTGAAGCTCATGGAGAGAATGCCAAGAGTGTGCAAAGCAGTAATCAGAGCAAAGGGTGGCTATTTTGAAGAAACTAGAATATAAAACATGTTTTCAGTTATTTCACCTTTTTTTGTTAAGTACATAACTCCACATGTGTTCATTCATAGTTTTGATGCCTTCAGTGAGAATCTACAATGTAAATAGTCATGAAAATAAAGAAAACGCATTGAATGAGAAGGTGTGTCCAAACTTTTGGCCTGTACTGTACTTACATTCCACCACTGTGAAATAGTCAAAAATGGTTCAACCCTGGTCTACCACTGCACCTACTGTATACCTCCGGTGTGTGTTTGCAGAAAGTCATTCACAAAGAAATCACCAGCATATTATCAAACAGAGTGACGTTACTTATGGTTGGGGTCAGTTAGACTCTCAAGATAAGAGCAGTGCTCTGACTCTTGGTTAGACTTCTTTTGAACAAACAAGGGGGCTCGAAAAGCATGACAAGACATGAAAAGTTTGGTTTTGTTTGCCATTTTCTATTTCTAAGAATTAGTGCCATAATTAAATTGAAATTAGCTGAATAAATGGATTGGAAATGTTTGAACTTTTTATTAAAAAAAAAGGTACAACAGCACAATGGTTTAGTCCACCCCTGCACTAAGATTTGTCTCTAATCACAGCCAGAGCCATGTGAGGGACTGTTTGTGCTGCTGGAGCACCAACACACAGTGACATGTCTTTCCCCAGAAAAGGGAAATCAGGGCTCCACAAAATGAAAGGGAAAGAAAGCAAACTGACTTTGTAATACACTTCTCTCTATAAATTTCCATTGTTATGCGGATGATACACAGTTGTATTTATCGATGAAGCCAGAAGAAAGTAATCAATTAACTAAACTCCATAACTGCCTTAAAGACATAAAAAATTGGATGAGCACCAATTTCCTGATGTTAAATTCAGACAAAACTGAAGTTATTGTTCTTGGCCCCAAACAACTCAGAGACTCTTTATCTGATGACATAGTTTCTCTAGATGGCATTGCTCTGGCCTCTAGCACTACTGTAAGAAACCTCGGAGTAATATTTGATCAAGATTTGTCTTTTAATTCTCATTTAAAGCAAACCTCACGGACTGCATTTTTTCATCTGCGTAATATTGCGAAAATTAGGCCTATCCTGACCCGAAAAGATGCAGAAAAATTGGTCCACGCTTTTGTTACCTCAAGGCTGGATTACTGTAACTCTCTATTATCAGGTAGCTCTAGTAAGTCCTTAAAAACTCTCCAGCTAATTCAGAATGCAGCAGCACGTGTACTAACAGGAACTAAGAAACGAGATCATATTTCTCCTGTTTTAGCTTCTCTGCACTGGCTCCCTGTAAAATCCAGAATTGAATTTAAAATCCTACTGTTAACTTATAAAGCTCTAAATGGTCAAGCTCCATCATATCTTAGAGAGCTCATAGTGCCATATTATCCCACCAGAACACTGCGCTCTGAGAACGCAGGGTTACTCGTGGTCCCTAAAGTCTCCAAAAGCAGATAAGGAGCCAGAGCCTTCAGCTATCAGGCTCCTCTCCTGTGGAATCATCTTCCTGTTACGGTCCGGGAGGCAGACACCGTCTCCACATTTAAGACTAGACTTAAGACTTTCCTCTTTGATAAAGCTTATAGTTAGGGCTGGCTCAGGCTTGCCCTGTACCAGCCCCTAGTTAGGCTGACTTAGGCCTAGTCTGCCGGAGGACCCCCCTATAATACACCGGGCTCCCTCTCTCTCTCTCTCTCTCTCTCTCTCTCGTATTCTATTACTGCATCTTGCTAACTCGGCCATTCTGGATGTCACTAACTCGGCTTCTTCTCCGGAGCCTTTGTGCTCCACTGTCTCTCAGATTAACTCATACCGCAGCGGTGCCTGGACAGCGTGACGTGTGTGGTTGTGCTGCTGCCGTGGTCCTGCCAGATGCCTCCTGCTGCTGCTGCCATCATTAGTCATTAGTCATACTTCTACTGTTATTACACACAAGTATACTGTCAGATATTAATACATACTTTCAACATATTGTACCACAGTAGCCAGAACTATAACTATAATATTATTACTTTCATTAATGTTGTTGTAAGCTACTGTCATTACCTGCATCTCTCTCTCTCTGTCTCTCTCCCTCTCTCTCTCTCTCTCTCTCTCTCTCTGTCTCATTGTGTCATATGGATTACTGTTAATTTATTATGCTGATCTGTTCTGTACGACATCTATTGCACGTCTGTCCGTCCTGGAAGAGGGATCCCTCCTCAGTTGCTCTTCCTGAGGTTTCTACCGTTTTTTTTTTCCCTCGTAAAGGGTTTTTTTTTGGGGAGTTTTTCCTTATCCGCTGCGAGGGTCTTAAGGACAGAGGGATGTCGTATGCTGTAAAGCCCTGTGAGGCAAATTGTGATTTGTGATATTGGGCTTTATAAATAAAATTGATTGATAATAAATAACTAAATAAGTAAGTGCATGGGAGAAACATGGGTCAAAAGAGAAAGGGTGAGGGGCCCCACATAGAGTTTAAGTATTGGACCCAGAATTTGGTGTGACGCCTCTGTCTGAGGCTCTCACGGAGTTGATAATCCAGACCCAATCTAAAATCCAACAAACCCTACAGTCAAAAACTCATTCAAGACAGTGAGCGTATCGTTAACTTGTCTCCGACCACTTTTAAAAAATAGGCTATTTTTGGCTTAACATAGGCCTATTACAGGATCTAGATTTTAAATTTTAAATGTTTAGTTAATCTCGCAAGCAAAGCAAGCAAAATAATAATAATAATAACGACCTACATTTGTCCACGTGTCAGACTAATTTCCAAGTCAGTTTATATGAATTTAAATAGCCTACTGATGCTATTTCATGATACGACAGCTGATCTCCTCCCTGAGGTTGTGTTCACGGACATTAAAAATCCGCTGTCGTCATCAGCAGCTACCCGACCTGACTGGCCACTTCTGTGGCAAAACGTGACGTCGGCGCTGCCAGCGTGGAACGCACGTCGCGCGCCAATCCAGGAAGTAAATTGTCCGGTTCACTTCAGTCTGCGGAATCCAGAAACAAGTGAGAGCAGTAAATACGTGTCAAATTCAACATTTCAGCAAGCTTTCCCGAAGACGTGTGAAGGGACGCCGCAGCGTTGCCTTGCCACAGCTTGTTTGAGTCCCCTCCAGCAGCAGCAGCAGACCGGGTCCGGCTGTCAGCTGTGTGCAGTGAAGGTAAGGAGGGCTTGGCTTGGCTTGGTGGGTCAGCTGTGTGAAGAAGCTGTGTGTGTTTTGCTAGCTAGCTTATGTGTGTGTGTGTTTCTGTGTGTGTCACCTGTGACAGGCAGCGAACACACTACTTCCCTGCTGTTTCCTGGTGCTGTGTAACCTGTTAGCTGAAAGAAAGCTCCATGAAACGTGTATTATCTGTGTAACATTGCAGCTGCTGTCTCTTATCACTAATGTGTCCGCTCAGAGACTGTGCTGACATTGCGGTTCTGCCAGGAGAGGAGACAAACAGCAGCTTGGTGGACTGCTGCTCATTAAACAGTCAGTCACAGGATCCGCCTCTGATCCTCCTGTCAAAACCATCACACCTGCATGCACACATGAAGACATTCTTAATATGATTGGCAAAATTAAATACAAATTAACTTATATATATATACAATAGAGCACTGCGCTGTAATACCTGTAGTAATAGTAGTAGTAGTAGTAATTTAACTTTAATTTGTGTCACTTTATAAAAAATCCTCACAAAGTGCTTAACAATCAGACTAAAAACAAGGCTGATAGTTAGACACAAAGTAAACATACAACAGAGCTATATTAAAACTGAAAAAATGTGTATGCACTAGAGCCTGACCAATATATTGGTTGGCCCATTTTATAGGCCAGTATAGATCTCAGTATCAGCGTACACATTTTCTGATATGCACCAGAGTTTGTTTTTCTTTTTTAAAAAGAACAGAAAAAGATGATTGGATTAATTTGTAATTATGAAATTTCTAATGAAGTTTACCCTTTAAGTGCACTGATGTCATTTTTGAAAATTAGATTTATTGTACTGTAAAATATTGTGCTTCTATTACATTTCCTTGTCATAAGTCTTTGATAACCATATGTTAAGGAGAACTGCATTGTTGATAGATAGATAGATAGATAGATAGATAGATAGATAGATAGAATATTGAACGCTATATCGATATCAGGATTTTTTTAATAATGTTGCATACTGTACATGTATGCATAATTGAGTAATTGTAGTTTATTTATTACTATTTTAATATCAGAGAAATTAATAAGTTTAAAATGTCATTTGATTTAAAATGTGAAAATGTGAATTTAACTGTAATTGAATATTGTAATAAAAACTTTAATAAAAACTAATGAAACTGCAATAAAATAAACACATTAACAATTGAAAAAAGGGGTGGGTAGATAGGATAAATACAAAATATCCAAATTAATGAAAAATATCCAGCCAAAGTTTTCTGAGTGATGTCTTAAAATTGCACATTTTAGCCTCAGTTTAAAAAAAAAAACAAAAACAAAAAAAAAAACTGTTGTGGTACATGTAGATATTTAATCAAATTTTATTTTGAAATTAACTTTTGTTAGACAGTGTATAGTGTGATAACTGTTATTGATATTGTTTCTGTATTGAAAAGGGGTAGTAATTGTAATACTAGCATGCACTGCAGATCAGTTATTTTTCTTGAGTCAGAGACAATTATTAATAATTATTTTCTGGACATAACACAAAATATTAAAATGTTGTATGTATTTATTTTTTTGAAAGTATCCGTGTTGTGATAATGTATTATCTTCAAAATGCCATCACTTATATTAAAAAAAAATGCATTACCTCTATACTAAAACTTTAAATTTCCTCAAATCACAGATATCAGAAAAGAGTTCCAGGGTATTTAGAAATCCCAAGGGTCAAAAATACAGCCACACCGTTTTTGATTAAACTGATAGGGAGATGCTGTGTTGTGGTGATGTAGTGCACAGCATGCACCACCAGAGGTCAGTCTCCACTGGTGGAACAGGCAGGTGAGCTGAAAAAAAAGGTGGCTGTGAGTTGTGGGATAATATTACAGGACTAGTAAAAAAGAAGAACATTTTGCTCCTGTTTGGGAGTATTGCTACATATCACTGTATCTTGAGATAACTTCCTCCAACTACAAAAGCACTTTATTAGCAGCAAGATTTTATTCAACACATTATCTCTGTTCAGCCCTCTGATGTGTCGGTGTCTATTCCAGCAACAAGTGTCACCAGGTCCTCCAGCAAGACGGGTGCTTATTTCTTATCAATTCATTATTTGATGAGACATAAGTATTTAAACCCAGCAAGATTTGTTTAAGAAGGCTTACTGTTGTTGGGTGCCCGGTAGCTCAATGGGTAGAGCTGGCTCCCTATGTACAAAGGCACTGTCCTTGCTCGATTCCACCCTGCGGCCCTTTGTTGCATGCCACCCCCCTGCCCTCCCCACTTGACACTTGTCGTCTCTAATAAAGGCATAAAAAGCCAAAAAAGTAGGAAAAAATAGATACCACCCAAGCCTAACTGTAGTAATATTATCTGATATTTTAATTTAAATTGTATCAAGCTTTAAGTACAGTCAGTTACCAGATCAACCAGTGAAGTTTTAAAAAGTAGGTAAAGCGTTAATATACTGTGTGTCGTTGTTCTCTGTGCAGGAGTTTCCCAAAGTAAACACTCAGTGAATGTGCAAATCAAGTGTCCACACCCATTTGAATGCTCTACTATATTCCTTCCTTGAGGCCTGAAATTACAGCCTGTGAAGTGTAGAGAGTTGCTCAGCTTTTATTTGTTGCTGGAATAGAGGAGTTGATTTTTTTGTATTTGTGAAAAAATGTTTACTTACTCCCAACCAAAAGATGCACATGAAGCCATCTACTTTCTGCAAAGTCAAATAAGATTGCCTATAACTGTGAAACTTTGGCTGTGTTGTGGATACAGACTGATTCGTACTGTTAACAGAGCAGCTGACACTCCACTATAATCAATGGAAATGGCCACACCAGGTGTGAGAACAGCACATAAATGGCACATAAAAGGCTGGTCTTGTATTGATATTCTGTATTTTTTTATGCAAGGTGTACACAGCTTCATAAGTGCTTTGTTTTTTAGTGATGTCCAAATGAAGCTTCATGAACCACCAGTTGTATTTGCTGAATCCACTAGATGGCGCTCTTGGTGTAATGAAAAAGGCTCAAGGGATGGAAATGCAGTTTGGTCTCAACTAGCAATGGCCAAATAAAGCTTCATGAACAATTTTCTTTATTTTTTGGGTCCACTTTGGCACTCTTTGTTCAACAAAGGGTTGAAACCAAACTGCATTGCCATCCCTTGAGCCTTTTTCATTACACAAAGAGCGCCATCTAGTGGGCTCAGCAAATACAACTGGCGGTTCATGAAGCTTCATTTGGACATCGCTGGTATTTTTTTTTTTTTTTATTTAAAGGGATATTTTGTCAATTTTCAATAAGCTCTGTATCATAACAATGTGCGTAGTATGTGTAAATGAACTGTGGTAAATTTTCCTCCATCTCAGCAGTTCACCTTTAATGTCATTCAGTGGATTTTCGCTGGCTCTTGGACCGAACTACAGATTATACTTACACATTTTTGCTGCACCATTTGTATTAGCAGATAATATATTTGTCTTAAAGAGATAGACAGAACAGACCTTTGGGTTGTGCTCTCTCAGCAAGGGTCCAGCCAGTGTAAAAACTGTTTTGAGTTTGAAAAAAAAAAAAAGGTTTGATATTGAGCCAAACACTGGACTGGACTGGTATATTGAGTTTTCTCACTAGGTGTTACACTTGACTCAGCAGCCGCTCTGAAGTTGAACAGATTAAAAAGCTGACAGAACCCATGAATGAGAGTGTAGCAACTTTGGTCCACTTGGTGGTGGTAATACACCTCTGAGCTGGTTTGCCAACAGCCAATAAACACTGAATAATAATAACAAGCAGACGGTGAGGTAGCGCCACAATCAGCAGGAAGACTGACGTAGCCTCGTATGTAGCCTTGTTTTTTGGCTCACCTCCTTTGTCAGCTTCATATCCAAAATGTTGCCATTTTGGTACAGTTTTCGTTTTCTTTGAGGCTAACTCTGCCGTGTCCCATCTTGTCACTTCAAGATACAAATAAACTTTCTAGTAAACACATTGCTCCCACCTCTATTGAAATGTGATCTTACTTATGTTGCCTGGGTTCAGCAGTAAATTGCGCCGAGCCTTCTAGACACAAGTGGCTACATTAGTCTGTTTATAAACAATATTGTGTTAATTACTTTGTCATATTATTTTTTGATAATGCAAAATGAGTTGGATTTAGCTTTATGATGACATCAGAACAGGTTGCTGATGTAGGCTACAGCAGACCGGACCAGCAAAACTGAAAATTGACCCAGCTCTACTCTGAACAGATAACTACAGCTAAACTTTGGTCTTTTTATGGCTCAGTTTTTATCTCTCACTGTGCTGTCTGTATTACACACACACACACACACATAGGCTACAGCAGACCGGACCAGCAAAACTGAAAATTGACCCAGCTCTACTCTGAACAGATAACTACAGCTAAACTTTGGTCTTTTTATGGCTCAGTTTTTATCTCTCACTGTGCTGTCTGTATTACACACACACACACACACACACACACACGCATGCACACACACACACACACACACACACACACACACACACACACACTTAAAAGTGTTGCAGCATTTTTATTACTGACTTTAAAATTATTGTCCTTATATTCTTTTTTCCTTGCTCATAGCACACACACGCACCGCACACATACCAGACACACACACCTTAGATGATGGTGGACTCCACGTTGGCTCAAGTGGGCAAAAATCTGAGTGAAGCCATGAGAATCCTGGAAGATGGACAGAGGTAAGATGAGAGACTTATTTCTTTAATTTCAACAAGTATCAAATCTGACAGCTGGTAAAATGACCACAGTGTACATCAATGACTTTCTGATGATCCTGTGATGTTAGTCTAAGGTTGAATTTCTAACCAGTGAGTGCATGAATTCAACATTATATGTTGTCTGTGTTTCTACCCTGTGCCTCTATTTAGAGAGAATGAGGTAGGGCCAGAGAAGTGGCGCCTCAACAGAACCAGCATCCCTGGACCCCTGCAGGGAGAGTAAGACACACACACACACACACACACACACACACACACTCATGTAGTGGCTGACAGTGGTTTTAGAACATTCAAGGGGCATTGTTAGGCATGACACTGAGTGGAATATTTATTTTTTGACTCTGGGGTGAACTGCTCATTATTTAAAGGATGTTTCACAGTTATTGAGAGTAGACTACACACAATGTTATGAAATATTTTCCCTCAGTACTATTACAATTGTGGGAAAAATAGCAATTTAAAACTTCTAACCTCCTGTTTTGGGGAAGTTAACATTTGAGTAAACTGAGTATTGGGTGACTTGGCAGTTTTGCTCATTGAACATTATTTTAAGTTGGAGAGGTAGGCTACATTATGTGAGAGAGGACAATGTCAGTGTTTAAAGACTTGTGTGTAAATTGGAGGCATGAGAAGAGTTAAGGTTTGAGAAAAGCTCAAGAACTGAAGCTTATCACTTGTTTCTTTGTGCTCCCGAGCAGTGGTCAGGATGTTGCCACTATTTTGCACCTTGTCCACAACCTCATTCATGATGAGGAGGAGGAAGAGGACAAACCAAGCCAACAGTAAGAAACTAATCAGTGGAAAAAAAAAAAACATACCTATACCTATTCAGCATTTTGTACCTCACATATTAACCATTTAGTGTTTGGATACAATCTTCTTTTTTAAGTCATGTTGAAATGAATAACCTAATAACCTAACTGGTAACCTAATGAGTAACATATTATTTCTAACTTTGAGTAAGATGGTACAGTTTCTGACATTTGTGGTGATTTTAGTACATTAAGGTGTTAAGTAATGACAGTTAAAAAGCTGAGTCATGTTAGGCATGCTGTTTACCCACTGTTCTGATCATAAAACAACACATTTTTTTTACATCACAGGCATGGTGCATGTTTACCTCTAGACTGTTCTAGAGAGGCTCTTTATATGAAACAATAATCAGAATGACTGGATTGGTAGAAGGAAGCAAAGAAACACTGGAGGAGAACTATTACAACTAAGCTATTGTAGTTTTACTGAAATCAGAAAACAGATACTCCTCCATGGAAAAAAAGGAAACTCCTAGAAAATCAAAGTGCTAGCTAGAACCATAAAGGGTTCTTCAGCTTGTTCCGATCGGAGAAACCTTTTTGGTTCCAGGTAGAACCTTTTATATAGGTTTCAACTGGAAACCTGTCGGAAGGTTCTACCTGGAACCCAACCTAAAAGGTTATACCTAGAAAACCCCCAATAACCTGTTTTCCACCAACATGGAATGGGTTCTGTTCCGGTTTGTGCATGAAACTTTGAACTGTTTGGAGCATTTCGACTGCAAAAAAATTCATTCGGAATCCTAACTTGGTTACCAGCTGAAAAACACAAAAAATAGCAGGTTTTCACCGACTTGACCTGAGAACCTTGATGACATCAATAGGCATGACATACTTTACAGGTTGGAAAGATAGGATGGAGATTTGCATGTAATAGTCATTGTCGTTGTCTTATCATTGATAGTTTGTCCTTGCTTGTATTTTGCGATAAAAACAAATATCCTTTACTATTTCAATGGTGCAGTACAGTTGGAAACTGAAACTCTGTTCCAATTTAGAACAGAATACAAAAAAAAAAGAATTATAGCAGACCATGTGGTATTTTATGGCCTAAAACTATGGTAAAGATATCAACTATGGCAGAACACAAGTAAAATGAATTAATTAAGGGGATTCCAGATACATTTATATTTTTAAAATACCATATGGAACATGGGTAACTTTGAATATTTGAGGGTGAGGAGCTTTTAACACCCATGCTTTCAACTGTCCTTGAAGAACTCTTTCTAACAAAGAACCCTTTCTTTGGAAAAAAAAGCAAAAGGTTCTAGATAGAACTCAGACCTTAGGAAGAACCCTTTTGGGACCTTATTTCTTAGAGTGTAAGGAATGGAGGAAATAGGCCACAGTATAATATGTATAAAGCTGCTGTTTGATGTTTCCAGTAGGATGCAGAATGTGGGTGAACAGGGTCACATGGCCTTGCTGGGTCACAGCCTGGCAGCCTACATATCTGTGTTGGACAGAGAGCGGCTACGGAAGTTGACTACTCGGATCCTGTCTGACACCACACTGTGGCTCTGCAGACTGTTCAGGTAGGCCTGTGGCTACAACACTGCAGGATACCTTTAGATCCAATGAATCACTTCTGTTTTGGTTGTGTTGGTGGTATAATAAGTACACAGTAAAAACCAGCATCAGCAGGAGCACAGGGTCTTACTATCTTAGCCACTGTAGAGATAGAAACTAGAGTCAGATTTGTAGTATGTGTACACACTTACTTGGCCCATAAAGGTGATTCTGATTCTGTAAAACCTCTAGATTTCTGGTACCATCATGTTTTCATTTTAACCTCATGCGACCCTTCATCCTCATGAGGACATTGAATTTTCGGATTGCTGCACCTGATGCTACTGCTTAACTTAGGCCCATCGTCCTCATTTGTGGACATTTTTTGTGCCATCTGGTGGTAGCAAAAGCACAATACACTAACCCATACAAAAACATGACAGCTGGCTTCTCTGCCAAGCCAGTCTACAGCCAATTCTGACATAAAAGTGGATAAGGTACAAAACCTGATCAAAAGTTATGGTTGAAACCTGTTTATTAATGCTCAGGAATGTTTGTAGTTTGATATGGCAAACAAACTTGACCAGTTTTATCAACAGTAACAAGCTAGGACCCCATTAATTAGAGAATACTTGTTTGAGGACAATGGGACTTTATAATTGTATTATTGCAGCATTCCACACAGGCCAATTAGGTGTGGAAGACTGTTCCTACAGACAAAAAGGACACTCCTGGTTTAGAGTATGGAGCAGGGAGAATTCATACAGAGAAACAAAACAAACAAATCACAAGGCTTTTAGATGTGTTGTATTATTTTCAATTTTGCTTTTGCACAGTCATGCTCAGGCATAAAAATGTTTTGAGTTTTGAGCAGATTCTAACTTGGAAGAGTGACCCCTAACCCAGAGAGTTACAAAACATTGAACAAATGTTGCATTGTTTGTAATTTTAGCAACAATTTTAACAACAGTTTCTTTAGGCATTGAAGTAAACAGTTTAAATCTATATTACACACTTGTGACTATTAAAAAGAAACCAAACGCCCCCATAGGAGGACATCTTTTCTTTTTTTTTTAAAGCTACTTCCGGTTCAAAGACAAAGTTAGGTTTTTATACTTGTCAGGTCCTAGTAGTCCCAAATAGCTAGGAGAAACTGAAGATGCATACCAAACAGAAGCTGGGGTCTCAGGAAGTTAATATTTAATACGTTAAGCCACTACAGTCATAAAATAACACATAATAAACCTCACCTCACCCAGAAATTAGATCATGTTAGCCATTGTAGTACACTTATTATTTTTATATTTTTGTTTAATTAATACACAATGCTAAATCTCAAATTCTGTAGTTTTACCATTTTTGTAATAACTTTGAGTGACTCAGTATATTGTTGTAGCTTGGCTAATGTTGCTTTCTGCTTCCAGTACTCTGTTTGACACCAATCAAATGTGACCCTCAGGTATGAGAACGGTTCAGCCTACTTCCATGAGGATGACAGGGATGGCCTAGTCAAAGTGTGTCGGCTGGTCATTAATGCCCGTTATGAAGAGTATGCCTCTGAGGGCTATGCAATCCTCAGCTCCAAACAGCCAGTCATCTACCAGAGTGCCTCTGGCAGACCCGGACTGGGGCAGCATCTGTGCAGCCAGGTAGGAAGGCTGGAACACAAACTGGCACACCAAATTAATGCGATAAGATAAGATTAAAGCCCATGTGTGTGAAAATCTAATGTGAATATTTAGGTGTATCCACAGAGATTTTAGAAATATTCAGATTCTATACGAAGGGGCTATAAAAGCAAGAGATGCCATCTAGGGCTCTTTATTCACGTGGAGGCAGTTACTCTTGAATATCAACAAAGTAATGTATTTAACAAGTCTCCTTTGGATAGACTACTTGTATTGTGCTGGTAGACCATATATGTGGGTTCAATTTGAATTTTCTAAAGTGCATGGCACCAGTACATTTAGTGTGTTTCCAACGTCACCATTGGTTAAAAGGCGCATAGTCTCGGAGCAAAGAAAGGCACAAGGGACAAAGGGATTGTAGTTAGTCCTTTAATTAATCACAGGTGTTTTGGGCATAACATGAATTCACACAATCAGTGTTGTCTTCCATTCCCCTTAAAAGCCAGGTGTGCCTGGACCTGGTGCACTGCTATTTACATGGTGTGGTAAATTGGAGAAGCGAGCAGTTATCTGCTGAGGGTGATGCAGTCAGAGCAGTAATGTCACTGCAGCAAATATTGTGAGACATTTTAGCAACACAACTAAAACTGAAGTTATAAACTTGACAGAGGAAACAGAACTAAACTTTTAGCTTCTGAAATAATCAATAAAGTTAAACTGCTCCTTGTGTGTAAACGTGCACAGCGTCTCTCAATGTGGAGTCAGACAGCAGCTCTGCAGCTCTGCTCTGCTCTCTGCTATGTTCATATTTTACAGAATGTCAGTGATATTTTCCCAATTAATGATGTATTATTTCACTCACCTGCAACCCATTTGCTGTCCCTGTGTGTATAACAAGCAGAGTGTACACGTGCTGTGAACCCCACCCTGTAAATGTATCATACTATCTGAATAATGTGCCCTTTAGGAAGCAGAAAAATACTGAGCTCTTCTGGTTTTTAGACCAGGTTTTCATTTTTCAATAGTGCAATCACTTCTTGCTGCCTCAAAATAGCAATGCACCAACAATGTGCCTGACCACATTTCATTTTTAGACCTACACGCCCATGGGCGCACAGATGCGCTCACATTTGCTACTTATACTTGTAACTGTGCACTGGATGTAAGATAGGGCCCTATGATTTTAACAGCACACAAAATTGTCTGATGTCAGTATTCAGTATTATATTGTCATACAGATTACATTGTATTATGTCCAGTTGCATACGTAATAGAAAATGATTTTCATGTCATTCTCTCTGTGTCATTAGCTTGGCCTGCCTCTCTCTAGTCTGTGTACAGTCCCATGCAATACCATCTTTGGATCCCAACACCAAATGGTAAGAAAATCCCAATGATGGATGAACACTTTCAAAACACACTTTCAGATAGTTAGAAAAAACTTGACTGATCGTGTTTGTCTCTGTCAGGACATTGCCCTGTTGGACAAACTAATCAAAGAGGACATAGAAGCTGGGAAGCTTCCTCTGCTGTTGATTGCCAATGCAGGTGAGGGGAAATCACAGTTCAAATATTGCTCTATTCACTATCTACACATGTGGCACAAACCAGTTGCTTATGATACTTTCTGATGTTTTTTCCCAGGCACCCCTGGGGCAGGACATACAGACAAATTGGGTCGTCTGAAAGACTTGTGTGATCAGTACAGCATGTGGCTGCATGTGGAGGGGTGGGTCAATACTTTAAATCTCTGCATTATATAGTCTTAATGTATGCACCTCATGTTTAACATGAATTCACTGAAATACTCTCACAGTGTTCATGCAACTGTAAATATCATCCTCCACACTAGTGTTATTATCAGTGCAGCTTAAAGGTATACTATGCAGGATTTGTCGCTTATTGATTGTAAAGAAAATAATCAAACCTGGCCTCTCGTGCTCGGCTCAACAAGACTGAGAGAGCAGAGGTGGTCAAGGGAGCTAGAAAGTGAATGAAGGGGGGGAACGGTGTTAACGAGAACAAAGCAGTGAATCAGAGAAGTTAAACATCTTTTATTGATTGTTTAATGGCAGTAACATTATAAACCACAAATAAACACATCCACACCTCCTTCACTGCAGGAAGGTGCTGCATTGCTGGATCTTGTGTGAATTTCGCAGAAGCACAAGCTTCATCCTGTCCACTTGCCTTCTCTGGTCTGTGTGTGTATGCGCATATGTGTGTGTGTCTCAACCTCGCCCTCGATCAAACCGACAGACACACCTGCAGCTCACATCCACATAGCAGAGGAGAGAAACTAAGGGTGCTTTCTGAAGTGCATACTTTTTCTTTTTACTTTAAGTAGGTACTGCAGCTACCCTTAATTAAGTACATACTGTTTCATGCAGTATGCACACCGTACTGCATATACTACTTTCTCATAAAATTACACCCTGAACTTTAACCCTCTGGCTTTTATATCTGTTACCTTGGAGATAAAAAAACATGCCACTTACTGAGTTCGCCAGAGACTGAGATCAACCCAGAGAGCTCTGCTGTTGTTAGTTTGCAGTGTTTGTAGGTTAACCTAAAAATTATAACTGCACAGATTGTAGATTCAAACATGTTTGTGACAGTGAATAATATCTGCAGTTCTCTTTCATTGTAATTTTTATAGTTATGTCCTATTGTTGTTTGTGATGTATTTATGATTATTTGGTTCACTTAAACAATTAATATTCCCATTACTCCTATTCGACTGGTCATCAGTTACTTGAATGCACTGTCATCCGTTATTGAAACTTCTGACAGCTGTCAATCAGCTGTCAAGCTGACATCTGTTTGCAGATCAGTTGATGTGACATATTGTACGCTGTGCAGAGGACTGTGGGTCAAAACATTCAGAATGTATTGGGACACACTAAATCTTTTTCTGATGTACTATATAGTATGGTAGTATGGGTATTGGAACGCACAGTAAAACAGTGGTGTAACCTAGCTGTTATGGTTTTATGGAGTTGGCTCAGGGCTACATGCCATCCCCCCAAGGTTGACACCCAGAAATGGTTCATGTTTTCAGCCATGACAACAGGAAGTCCCTGTTGTCACTACTGTTATGTTAACTTTTATTCTGGTGTTGTGTTTTTTCCTTCAGGGTCAACCTGGCAACCCTAGCACTGGGTCAGATCACCTCTGCTATCATGGTAATCTAATGTTAAAATACTAATTAATTAATCTAGTGTTTTTTTACCACCATAGGTACTAATGAAAGGATAGGGTCACATTTTTTTTAAGTCTATCTTAAAATAATAGTGACATGGGTTATTGGTTGTAATTGTTCTTCCTGTCCATACTGGTCTCAATCAGATTTCCTCTAAAAGGGGACTTATTATTTCGTATGTTGTGTCTTACAGTGGCTTGCAAAAGTTTGGGCACCCCTGGTCAAAATTCCATTTACTGTGTATAGCTAAGCAAGTAATAGATGACCTGATTGCCAAAAGGCATGAAGTAAAAAATGACACATTTCTTCAGTATTTTAAGCAAGATTAGATAAAAGAAGATGACATCACATGAAAGCAAGTCCATAAAAGTGGGTTCTAAGAAGTGATTTAAAAGAAGTCACTGTATTTCATCAGGCAGGTCATTCCAAATCCAAGGGATGATGGAGCATGGTCACCTTAAGAGTTAAGCCTCAACTTTGAAATGACCAGAAGGGCCCCACCTGAAGATCTAAGGCTATGAACTGGCTCATGTGGGGTCAACATCTCTGCGAGGTAGCTTGGGGCCAAACCCAGACAAGCTTTAAAAGTGACCATTAAAAACTTAAAATTAATTCTAAAATGCACAGGAAGCCATTGAAGAGAAACAAGGATTGGGGTAATGTGATGTCGGATCATATTCCTGCTGGAACATGTCCAGTTGAGTTTAAAAGCTTTTATTGGTGATTTTACACAGTAGAAAGTGCCACTATTTTCCATTACAGTCATTTCTCAGCTACAATGATGGTGCACAGATGATATGGAAGATCTGGAAATGCTGACCAATCAGCGCAGACTGGGTGTTTTGGGAGTTGGCTTAAAGAGACAGGGGCTAAAACAGAGCATCTCAGATGGTGGGTGAATACAGATGTTCCAGCACAGACAGCCTAATGGAAATAAAGTGTTTCTTGAACATTAAAGCATGTAAATATGTTCCAACACAAACCTTAAATAGAAGTAGTCTTGAGTACAATTTCAGTGTCAGTAATGGGACACAAAATTCACAGTCCATGTCCTGTGTTAAAGGTAGGATCTGGAGGATTTTCAAACAAAACAAAATATAGACATATACAAATGAAATCCTGCTTAATCATCACCTATGGGCTTCTACTCATGTGTGGTGGTGACTCTGTTTGCAGAGCTCCTGCCCTTTAACTGTATTTTGATGTTTTTGTGAGCTCGGACTGCTCGGACCACGGAGATTTCCCCAGCCAATGAGAGAGCGCAGGTGCCGTGCCTGAGTGTGTCCGAGTGTGCACCAGCGCGAGCCTTGCCTGAACCTCTTCTGTGAAGCTTTCTTCCGTACCTCCGGGCTCCGTACACCCGGGAGAGTTGAGCCTGATAGGAGGGGCCAGATTTGAATGTGTGTTTACAAACAGCAACTGGAAAATCCTCCAGACCCTACCTTTAAGATGTTTATTCATTTTAAAGTTTGGCTGGAGCTAATGTGAGAATTCTTTAGTTTGTGTTAGAAACCTAAATGGGGATCTTCCAAAGTTACAATGTTTTTTTATAAGAAATTCCCTCCTTGTGGTTCCAAAGACAGTGTTCCCTTGTTTAACTGAGACACGGGGACAGATGCCTTTTGTGAGAACTTGATGCTGCTATTACTTAACCATGGAAGATACCTACTTAACTTGGTCTCCTGATGTCCCATGTCAGCTTTGGTTGAACTTTGGAATGTATTGTTACACAAATGAGAACTGTGGATTTTGTCTTCCATTACCTACATTGTAATCACATTAGGAAGAAAAAATTTCACAGCCAATATGGATGGATGGAATGCAGATAAAAAAACTTGGTGATACTTCATATTAAGTTGAACATAGTAGAAGTAGTCATAAAACACTTATTAATGCCTTATGCATGGCCATATTCTGCAACTACTAGGCCTTTAACTGAGAGTTTTACCTCAATAACCTCATAATTGCTGCTTATTGATGGGATGTAAAGAAGTTGTTGTACATGAATTACGATCTTCATATGCTTTGCTAATTTTGGGCCGTATAAGGTGGTAGTACCACTGCCCTAATAACACTTAATAAGTATGATTTAATGTTATATAACAAAACACAAAGCTGCAAGTGTTTATAATGTCTAAATAACTTAAGTAAGTTAATTAAGTCTTTCTAACTCAGAGTATGTTCCCCATTCTAAAGTGATGTCTTGCTCATAAACAGTTATCTGGTAGTTTGACACTTATTATTAACCCACACAGGTTCCATGTTATAGAGTTGACTTCTCTTCACACTTGGTAAATCCCTTGTCACACAGAAATGGAGGTCAGCTGAGACACAAAGGTTCTATTTCTATTCAGTGGTTGAAGAACAAAGTCAGCACAAGTAGAAATCTCTCCTTTATTAATGGACAAACACATCTATTAAAAATGCACTGCCTTATAACTGAAGACTTGAATCTGTTATTTGCAGTAGTTGTACTAGGCAACCTGTGTGGGTTGATGAGTGTCAAACCACTAGTTAATTAGTTATGAGTGAAATATCACTTCAGAAATGCAAACATATTCTGACTTATTTAGACACTTTAAACACTTGTACGTTTTTTGTTACATTACATAAAAATAGACCACATCTCATTCATTCACTTTATGGACCCTCCTGCTGAGGGTTGCTAGGGGCTGGAGCTTATCCCAGCTGTCACTGGGTGAATGATGGGGTACACCCTGAACAGGTTGCCAGACTATCACAGGGCTGAGACATAGACAGACAACCATTCATGTCACATTCACACCTATGGCTAATTGAGAGTCTGCAATTAACCTAACCTGCATGTCTTTGGACTGTGGGAGGAAGCCAGAGAACAGGGAGAACACGCAAACTCCACACATCGGGGCCTAGCCGCCAGCTGGCATGTGCCCTCCTTCGTGGTGGCATGGCGGTGCAGTGGTTAGCACTATTGCTTTACAGCAATAAGGTTTCAGGTTCTAATCTGCCGGCTAGCTGGGGCCCTTCTTTTTGGAGTAGAAGGAGTAAGAGTTATTAAGTTAGAATGACTGTTTTTATTGCACTACTACCTTAACTACAAACTGTACTGAGCAAAGCATATTGAGATTGTTATTCATGTGCAACAGCTCTCTTACTTCCTATCAATAACACAGTAATTAGGAGGTTATAAAGGGAATCTCTTTAGTAAGTGTTTTATAATAACTAATAAAAATCCAATATGCTACTAATATGACTGCTAATAAGCAATTAGTTAATGGTGAATATGTATACCTTAATATAAAGTGTTCCCAAAAACTCTTTCAGTTTACATATGGACATGTGAATATTGTTTTAAGATAAACTTGAAAGAAATGTTTCAGCTGCGAATTAAGTTTCAAAGTCCACTGCTGCCTACAACAGAGCAGAAAGTCTTCTTCCTTCCCATCATAATTTTCCAACAGCTTCACTCCATGGACCAGATGCCAAAAAGCACATGAGCATTATTGATCTCTCTGTCACGTCTGCAGTGGAGAGCACAAAAGTCATCACTTTCACAAAGAAATGAAGCCAGCAATGTTGCAAATGCCATGTCTGGAAAGATGTATAATCTTAGTGTAAAAACCTGAAAGAGAGAGAGTGGCAGTGTTGGAAAAGAAAAACAGGCAAGAATCTAAGTCTCCACTTTTTACCTCTGCCAACTTCTGAGCCTCCCCTCTCTGTGTTAGTGTCTGGCCTCATTTTGATTAGAGAAGCCAGACACCCAAGAAGGGACACCTTACAGTGACTTTCTCTTGTGACATGTGTTCCTGTGTTCACTGTTCTTTCCCCTGCAGGCAGCCACCAAAAGTGACAGTATGACACTGACACCAGGTCAGTGGCTGGGACTACCTGCTGTAACTGCTGTCACCCTTTACAGACATGAGGACCCAGCACTGGTAGGCTCATATCATTTCATACAAATTGAGTCAGCACAGAGTGATAGTTGTTTCTGGGAGTTTTGTGGCAGGTTTTGCTGTACTTTTAGTTACCTAATCCCAGCTGAGGAGATATTATTTTCGAAATGATGTAACCTTTTCCATCAATAACTACTATTTTAACTGCCCAAGTTAAGATTTATTTTTAATTTCATTAATATTAATTGCAGTATATTCTAGGGCTGGGGGAAAAATCGATACAGCATAGTATCGCGATAATTTTGTGCGTTAATATTGTATTGTCACACAGTGCCAAGTATCGTTTTTTTATTTATATGAATTATTAATATTACCAATACAAATGAAGTTACAAATTGGGTAGCCTGCTTAAATGATATAATCAGTAGCTGTTTAAGTCCGATACATTGAATGAATTTCCCCTCTGGGTATCAATAAAGTATATCTTATCTTATACATTTTGCTGCAAAAAAAAAAGAAGAAAAAAAAGACTAAACTGAGATGAACAGACTAAAAACTTCATCTTATTAGATAACACAAATGTTGACAAAGTTTTCCTTTGGGGAAATTATTTGAAAACAGGTAATATCTTAATGTATTTTATAGCAGACCCCTCAGACCCATTGTCAGCAGCATTAACTCGGTCACGTATAACATTGCCAAACATTTAGCCAACATCCTGGCTCCCTTGGTGGGCAATACGCCCCACCATATCCAGAACTCCATAGACTTTGTGAACAAAGTAAGAGGTTTAAAAATGGATCCAGATGATACAATGGTATCCTATGATGTGACTTCCCTGTTCACTTGCATTCCAACCATGGATGCTTTGGAAACAGTCAGGCAATGGTTGATACATGACAACACCCTCCACGACAGAACCAAGCTCAGCCCAGACCAGATATGCCAACTACTGGAGCTCTGCCTGAGCACTACCTATTTCAAATACAATGGCAATTTTTACAGACAGAAACATGGCTGTGTCATGGGCTCACCGGTATCTCCCATTGTGGCTAACCTGTACATGGAGGATGTAGAATACAGAGCATTGAACTCCTTTGAGGGAACAGCACCGAGCCACTGGTTCAGATATGTGGATGACACATGGGTTAAAATCAAAACTCAAGAGGTACAAGCTTTCACTGAACACATTAATTCTGTGGACAGAAACATCAAGTTCACAAGAGAAGATGTTAAGGAGAATAGTTTGCCCTTCTTGGATTGTGATGTGCACATTACAGAGGACAGAGGCCTCCACATTGGGGTATACAGGAAACCCACTCACACAGACCAATACTTACTGTTCGATTCTCATCACCCACTGGAACACAAACTCGGTGTTATCAGGACCCTACAACACAGAGCTGATAACGTACCTACCAGCACTCAGGCCCAAGGGAAAGAGCATGAACATCTGAGGGAGGCTCTAAAAACTTGTGGTTACCCCAGTTGGACCTTTGTGAAATCAGCAGCCTGTTCCAGAAAGAACAAGGTGGGTGAGGAAGAAAAGAACAAGCGCAATAACATTGTCATCCCCTATGTGTCTGGGGTATCTGAAAAACTCAGGAGGATTTTCAGCAAACACCACATCCCTGTGTATTTCAAACCCAGTAACACACTCAGGCAAAGACTGGTTCACCCAAAAGATTGTACACCACACACTCAGAAGAGCAACCTAGTGTACGCTGTCCAATGCAGTGAGGAATGCCCAGACTTGTACATTGGTGAAATAAAACAACCACTAAACAAACGCATGGCCCAACATAGAAGGGCTAACTCATCAGGGCAAGACTCAGCTGTCTATCTATACCTCAAGGAGAAAGTACACTCCTTCGAAGACAGCAATGTGCACATTTTGGACAGGGAAGACCGATGGTTTGAAAGAGGTGTAAAAGAAGCCATCTATGTGAAATTGGAAAAGCCATCTCAATAGAGGAGGAGGTCTGCGACACCACCTATCCCCCACCTATAATGCTGTCCTTTCATCCTTGCCCAGGAGGCTTAACAACTTAACCTCTAAAAACAACGGTCGTTCACAAATGGCCTCATGTGACTCTAATGACTCCAGTGACAACCGTTGCAGCAGGAGTTTCAACGACTGTCGTTGACACACCATTGGAGCACTAACGAACCAGTGACATCATTGGCCTTGTGAAGACCTCCCCAGAGGTTAAATACCTGGGTGCTTCCACACCAGTTTGTCAGACTAGTTCCAGCCTAGTCAGACAAGCATGAACTGATGAAGCCTCTTGGATAAGAGGTGAAACGTCTTCTAAGACAAAGCCAAGTCCAGTTGCGTTCGATTCAATTGCCTTGAGGTATTTTATAGCAATACTCAGCATATCCCAAAACATTTAAAATCGCAATAATATTGTATCATGACTAAAGTATCGTGATAATATAATATCGTGAATCCTCTGGTGATCCCCACCCCCAGAATATTCTTAGCTCTCCATGACCACTGTCTATGTCTTTGTCTAAATGACTCACTGCTCTGTGTCTCTGTGTTCGGTGTCTCAGTCACTGGCAGCAGGTTTGACCTCCAGCCAGCCGGTAGCGAAGCTTCGAGCACTGCCTCTCTGGCTCTCCCTGCAGTACCTTGGTCACAATGGCATTGTGGAAAAGATCAGACATGCCACAGCTCTAGTAAGCATCACTTAACACCTCCTAAACCACAAACTGTCATTTTTCCAGTTCTGTAAATAGTTATATAAGCTTCTTTCTTCACAAGTTTAACTATTCCTTTAATTTTTTTTTTTAAAGAAATTGAATATTGCCAGAAATGTAATATAGCACACACTGCCATTATTATGGAGTTAGGCAATAAAATCTTTTTCTTGTCTTTTGTAGATACGAGAGCTCACTCATTTCACCTTTATGTCTCTCCCCTCTAGAGCCAGCAACTCCTGCAGAAGCTAAAAGCTCTCACCTCCATCAAAACATCAGTAGGTGTTCTCTTAATGTTCTGCCATATATAATAACCCAATTTTTATAAGGTGAACAGATATTTTGTTAGTTTTTGTGAGAATATGCACTGACAGGAAGACAGTACTGAGTCAGAGAAACCCCACTGTGAGTAAAGTGACTGAAAAATAACAGTCTGTGCAGTTACTGTTTGTAACTCACCACTAAATATACAAAAAGCGATATTTCTGTGCACCTTTGCATTACGCCTTGCTAAAAATGGAGCCATATTGTGTATGTCATGGTGCTGCAGCCTGCCCACTACATGCTGCCCTGCCTGGGTTTGATCACCATTTAACACCTGAGATTTGAAGGAGGTCAGTCTTTAGGAAACCAGTCATCTTAACTAATAAGTAGGACATTTTGGGTATGATGGTCATAGAGAGAGATTTATAACAAAATAGATAATGAAAAAACAGCCATTATAAGAAAACATTCTCAGATAAGTAGTAGTAGTAGCAGTATCTGACTTTGGCCTCTAGTTTCATTGTGGTAAACTGCTGTTATCGGCCTGTAATGTTGTAATTAGTATGTTGCGTGCTGTGGATGCCTTCACTTGTGACTCATCAGTCACTTTAATATTGTACTGATATCATATGAGAAAAGTATATACTCACTGTTGTGTAGTTATAACAGAATGCATATTAGTATATGAGGATACATTAAAACTTAAGATAAAGTTACATAAAGTCACAAAATACAACACTGATAACAGAAAAACATTAGTTAAGGAATATTTTAGAATATTATATTGATGTTAAAAAAAAATAGGAGGATTATGTTAAGCTCACTGTGAAGTTATTAAACCTTCCAGAAATGTTCTTTTTCCTTACAGGTATATAATCAATACATTATGCAGACCTCAAAGTAATAAAGTTTAATATGTTTCAGTACTTGTTGATAGTTTCCCAGCTGTTTTCATTTTTTAATGCAGTCCTGCTGAAGAATATCACAATTCGGCTGCTGCCTTTATTTTATGCTTTATCTTATTGTCGTGAAAAGACCAAAACCATCAATGTTTTAGTTTGTCTCTCAATACTTTACCCTGTCTGTGGCCCTCAGCCCCAAACCCATTGATTCTAAAGATTTAGATCTTTAAAAACAGCACAATGCATAGTTTTTTTTGTAAAAAGCTCAGTATTTTCCTAAAACAGCTGGTCACTGTGTTTTTAAAACAAATGTTACTCAAATAGGAGTAAGTAGTACAACTTTTGGGACTATATTCATTGATGGATTAATCCCCATTTGATGCTTTAATGGGTTTGTGGGATTGAGTCAGAATAAACTAGAGTGAGTTTATGAGAATGAAAGAACATGTCACTAGTGCAACAGCCAATATGTTTACATTACACAAGAGAAAATTGATTTATTCTGTTATTCTGACAAAAACTTTTAAGATATATGTAAACATGTTAGTTCGACTGAAATTGTACTAAATGGAATTCCTCAAAGTCGGACTAACACACCCAGATAATGTGATTGGGAGTGGAATTACTTCTGCATGTATACACTCAATCAGACCCAAACTGGCCAAGGCACTCTGCACATACTCCACAATTTCCGCCCCGGGCTTTGACCAGGAAGTCGAAAGCATTATATGCGTAACAGAAGAAGAAGTCGGTTACATCATGGTGAAATGTACATCCAGGGCTGTGCACTTTTGGACACACAAGGAGGCACAGTTCATTCTGTGTCAGCTGAAAGGGTTAAATATTTTAGAATACATACAAAACACATGCTGCTAGCAAACTATTACTAACTTGTTTGTTGATTGTTTGGTCTGTAACATAATAGGCAATCAGAAAAAGGTCCAGTTCTAGCAAGCTGAAAGGGGGCACATCACGACCTATTGTAGCGGAATTGGGCATACCTTGGTCTATAAATCGATTCTTTTCCTGTGCTTGTATACTGGGACAAGGACAATATTCCAATTTAATTGCCTTGTTGAGGTGTAACCCTAGCTCCACTTAACTGTGCATGTAAACGTACTGAGTGTGGCTCACTGTTTTGGGGAACAATGGAGCTGTATGGCATTGAGGAAACTGATATATCAGGCTTTGGATACCAACACAATACTTGATAGTAGATACGTTCATTGTTGGTTTGGCCATGGGATTTGTTTACAAGAAGAAAAATATGAAATATCACCAAATTTATCATTTGATAATGAAATTAGATACAAAGATGTAGATGACACATTTTTTTTATATTTAGGTTAATAGAGTAACTGCTTTCTGTTAGTTGCTGGAGGTAAAAATCAATTTGAAAGCTGATTGATCTCAATTGTGAACTAAAATTTGATGGATAAACTTCTGCTTTAAACTGTGAAGATGTTCATGATATTAGTAATTGTCATGGCTGGCAGAGGGACAACTCATATAGTTCATTATTTTTGATTAGCCTTTCCTTAACAGCCCCATCACACCACCATGATACTAGAGGCCTTTGTATCTGTTTGGACCTTTTCTAAGCACACTAACTTATGAGCAGTGATAAATGTAATATTTACTGTATACTAGAGAACCTGATTAGATTTAGCCCATAGGTAAGCAGTTATTAGATATTATCACACCCACATGTAAAGTTAATAGACATACATGGACATGGAAATATTGGCTAATTAATCATCTTATTTGCATAATATACCGCTCCAGTGCAATTTTTCTTTTTGGTACAAGGATCAGGGCCTCTTCATGTATTCATAAATAACATGTATAACCCCAGCTGAGCTGTTCAAAGACAAAATCCATTTGTGTTTATAGGATGTGCTTGAGACAGAGATCTCTCTCGTCGAGGCTCTGACCATGGTAAAACTGATACTGAAACAGTCTCAGGGGTACAGACTTGGCTATAAGGCTTGTTCACTGGTATAAACTAAAGGCAAACACTGCATCCATACAGTCACTGAGGTAGGGCTGTACCGAATGTCATACTTTCAAAGCTTTCACTGAAGTTTTAGAATAAAGCCATGAATGTTTGTCGCTGTATTTTATGACATTCAACTGGATCTCTTCCCAGGTCATTAAATACAGTTGAATTGTCACAACCCTGTTTGTTGCTATGAGACACACAGTTCACAGCTGAAACACACTGTAACACTTGGTTAGTGTTGTGAAATGGTCATGGTTAGATTTAGGCAATACAATGACTGGGTTAGGGTAAGAAAAAAAAAAACATCTTTTAGGTTATATAAGTACATTTGCTACCTAATGTAATGTGGCGGCGATATTTGTTATTTTATTTTGCTGATTTGGTCTGCCTTTGAAGAACAAGAGAGACAGCATACAGAGCCAGCATATTTACATCTTACTCGGTGAGTTAAGGGTTTATTTTGACCAAAAGAGTTGGTGATTGTTCGAACAAGTGGAAAGATTAACCAAGACAATTTTGGTGAGTTTTATTTTGTTTTTGTGGAGATTTAATGAAGTGAGTAAATAAGGCGATTAAATCTAGTCTTAGTTTTATGAAGAATATAGGTGTAAGAATATGTATTCTTTTGACATTTTGTGATTTTATTTTGTTAATTCTTAAGAATTGAGGCCTGTTGGAAAATTTTGACATTGAACTATCACCAAACCCCAAAATCTGCCACTAAAAATAGTATACTAATAATGCCTAATTTTTATTTGCAACTGTCTAGACATAGTGTAGGTTTAAACAGATTGAATAGACATGCAAAAAATAAACAAAAAATGAACTGAGTAGCATTTATGTGTTAATTTAGAATTCAAATGTCAACATCATGAATGAAGCTTTGAAGCTTTGAACTATTCGATACAACCCTACACTAAGACGTAATGGGATGTGAATTCATCCCAGCAGAGTGGCTGGGATATGTAGCATTATACATTAACACTGCTGGAGTACTTATGCAGTGAACAATCAGTATGTTGGGGATCGGAATCATTCCACACTGGTACTCAAACTCACAGTATCTTGGTAAAAGAAGGAGGAATTTCAGTTTTGTCAGCCACATTCATTGTGGAGATGCTGCAGTTTGAGTCTGAAGTACCACTGTGTTAGTAAGATGCAAATGAACTTGCAGGTCCATGTGTGAATCTCTTCTGTATGTGTGTGTATAGCTGTAGTTTTAGTCAGTGTGGGTTGCCTTGGTTCCAGGGCGTGGTGTCTCCATTCCCGCCCATCTCCGGGGCTTCACTGCGGGACGTTCTGGGCTCTCTCATGCTCTCTATTGTAGGTGGGACCAAGCCTCTGCCTGTCTCCCTCACTTCCCCATTCCCCTTTGTCCCTCTTTCTCTTCCTTTTCTTTCTTCCTGTCACTCCTGACCATTTTCCTTCACTCACATCAGCTCAGCTGTATTTGGGTCTCCATTGGCTGATGGACTGTTCACTTCTTCCTAATTGTTTAGGATGTGGACCACTCAGGCATGTTCTTTGAGGTACTTCAGGGAATGCCTCTCCACACTCATTATGTTTTGTTGCCTTTGGAAGAAATACAAGGGTCATGAATAATTAATGAATGTGTCATGTGCTGTTGCATTGCAATTCTTCCTTTTTTTTTAAGTCAAAATACCAGTTGGTGGTGGCCTCTGTCAGGATGCTTTCCACCGCAACAGTGTATAAGGTCTTTGGGACTCCTAGAGAGACCTTGAATTTCTTCAGGTAATGTGACATGTCAAATTCTCTCTGACATGGACCCGAAGTTCCCCACCCTCTCCATAAGAGTCCTATTCACTGACGTTCAGTAGGAGTTGTTGGCCTTGCACTATAGTGATAGTTCCCCCGCTTCTTCCAGGTAGGCCTTCTCATAATTGTTGATGATCTGGACTAACACTACTGCGTCATCTGCAAACATGATGAGTGGAGTACAGCAGGGGCCAGGTACACAACCCTGGAGGGCACCTGCGTTGAGGATAATGGGGTTTGAAGTGTGACTGACCTCCTGAGTTCTGGCAGTCACAAAGTCCAGGATCCAGGGACAGCGTGGTTTTAGGGGTTTAGGGGTGGTTTAAGGGTTTTA